TGAGGTTGTGAGGTTCCCCCTATAAACCCCTTGGCTGGCTTTGGGAGGACCCCATGCTGTTTTTTTAGGAGTTTGTTTTTAGTGGGGCCCCCCTTGACACCCACATCAAGCATTAGAGTCTGGTATGTAATTCATTTTTGATGGAACCCCACGCCAATTTTTGTGTGTGTGTCAGGTTCCCCTCAGGGGCGTCCCGAGGCCGGGTGTCACCCATAGTGGGTACTAGGTGACACCCTGCCATGATATCATCACGCACCGTTGCGATGATGTCACGTGCATGCGTGGCCATCTTGGTGATACCTGCCAGCGGCCATCTTGGGTGATGGACACTGGCGGATAGAGGAGGGGACGTTCACCCAGCGGGATAAGTTATGCCGCCGGGTCCCCTCCTCTCTCGTGCAACTGTCGGCCTCTCGGTCGTCTGCCTGTCAGTCATTTTGGTGTCACCCCTCCAATAGGGTTGCCACCTTTTCTTCAAGCGAAAACCCGAACACTCTAGACATTTTTTGGGGAGAATGAGTCGCGGCTTATTCATATGTAAATAGCCCCACCCATTCATATGTAAATATCACAGTTGAGACTATTTTCAGTGGATGGCCAGTAGCCCCTATCTTAATTTTGGTTGCCCCTGTCTGCCTGACATCTTGTGTCCGTGTTTCTGCTGCCATGAAACCCGTACACCGCATTCAAAACCCGGACTGTCCGGGTGAATCCTGGACAGGTGGCAACCCTACCCTCCAATGGTGTCACGTAGGTATTGGCTCCACCTCCCTTGTGATGCCACTGGTCCCCCGTGACATGAATAGCTTCCATCAACTCATCCTTTAGAGTTACCACCTCCTGTGTCACTTGCCCGTCTTTGTAAATTGTAAGCTCTTACAGGGTGCCTCTAATACTTTTTGTATGGTATTGTATATCTCTCCCATATATTGTAAAGCACTGCACAAACTGTTGGCATTATATAAATCCTTTGTAATAATAATAATAATAGACCCTCATCTAAGATCTAGGAAATGAAGGAAATCCCCAGCTGCTTCGTTTGCAAACAGAAGGAAGTGGCCGTGAGCTATCATTTGCCGGCGATTTAAATTGCATTTTATTTTTGTATGTTTTGCTTTAGTAGGTTGTATCCTTTGTACAGATGTTCCCCTTCACAGGCATGTTCAGG